TCAAGGTTGTCCTAATATACACAGGTCCTACCAGCGGGTTATAGATGTCTGATGTGCGATGCATGTGTCAGGGAAACCTTTCTTGCTTGCTCATTGCTTCCAGGAACAGAAATAGGAAACACACAGAACTTTGGAGGAATTGGGGGCTCAGAAAGGGCTGAAGGGAAGCAGGACCTGAGGAGCCTGACCCTGGAGGGCAGATTCCCAGGCAAGGTTGGTCCCCTCCTGCCCATTTGAGGCCTCTGTGAGCTATAAGGCCTTAGTTTAGGTAACATTTTCCTTCCTTCCTTCCTTCCTTCCTTCCTTCCTTCCTTCCTTCCTTCCTCCCTTCTTCCTTCCTTCCTTCCTTCCTTCCTTCCTTCCTTCCTTCCTTCCTTCCTTCCTTCCTTCCTTCTTTCTTTCTTCCAGAGATTCATATTTGCCTACAAGTATCTTCTTTGGAAAATACGTACCAATCTTCCTGAGCCGTGGTTATAAGCCATTTGCACATAAGTTTGAATCAGTCCCAGCAATTCCTTTCTCAAAGTCTCTGTCAGTTTAGCTGCACTGAGGGCAAGCAGCATGCTGCACCTGGAGCCTAAATGGGGTGTTTTGGGAGAGGGATTGGCCAGCCCGTGAGCACCCAGGGGATGAACACTGGGAGGTGGGAGGATGTTACAAGGTAAAGGTGTCCAGCACAGCTGTCCACTTGTGCCTGGGGGACTGGCTCCTAACCCAAGAGAGGGGAGGGAAATGCCTCACCCAGTGCTTTTGGTTTTCACCTTTCCCTGTGCATGCAACACCGCTTCTGCCAACACCCAGGGTCTGAAACTCAGCGTATTTCAGTTACAGTTCCTTCCCACACCCCTCATGTCTACCACCCTTCATAGTTAGGGCCTGTCTCCAAGGGGATGGGACTGGGGTGTGGATAGAGCTTTACTGTTTTATTAGTCTGTTTATTTTTGTATCAGAGATAGAACCCAGGGACGGACGTTTAACCACTGAGACACATCCCAACCCTTATATTTTTTAAGACAGGATCTTGCTAAGTTGCTTAGGGCCTTGCTAAGTTACTGAGGCTATCTTTGAATTTGCAATCACTGGGATTATAGTTGTGCACCACTGCACCCAGCAATGTCTTTACTTGAAGGGCTGAGTTATATTCTTTAGTTAATTCTTAATTAGTCAAAAACTTAAACTATCAAAAGTACTCTACTTCTGAATATCCTCCATCACTTTAGACATGGACTGTGCAGTTAAAAAAATGCTTTTAGAGTCAACAAAATGAGTGACACATCGTCCCCAACATTGGCTGTCTTCAGATCATCAAAGTAGCCAAAGTTAATAATTTAGTTGGAGCATAAAATCTGAAATGTTTTCCCCATGAGTCAGTTAGTAGAAGAGACATAATATTGTCCAGGTAGTTGAATTTTCTTCTACCAGGACAAAAACTTGAGCAATATGGCAAATGTATCTGCTGGTCTGAGAAAGAGGAGCAGAGAACCTCTGCCCAACTACAGACCCTGAGCAGAGACCTACCTCCCTGGGAGCAAATGCCTGGCACAGGAATCCCTCTATCTGTCTAGCATCACATCATACTGTGATGGGTATGGACGAACACAACTCAGTTTCAGACTGAAATTTTCTTTAGGTTGACTAGATTTGGCAGACATATTTCTCAGGGTTTACTTCCCTCCTTTCTAAAGTGTATCTCGTGGAATACACCTGGACCTTTTCTAAACACCCAGGACTCTAACTGAATTTCCAGCATGTTTTCAGAGCTGTTGATGTGTGCAGGGCCATTTCCCTGCACATCAGACTTCTGTCTCCTTGACCATTCTGTCCATTTTCATAACATTTCTGTCCTTTCAGTGTCCATCTCTGCTGCTTGCTGCCTCCAATGCATCTGCTCTTCAGGCTGGAATAGATGAGAAGCCCATAGCAACGATTATGAAACTGACACATAGCGGGTGTGGTGGCACTCACTCAGCTGTAATCCCAGCAACTCAGGAGGATTGCAAGTTGGAGGCCAGGCTTAGCAACTTCGCGAGACCCCCATTAACTTACAGGACCCTGTCTCAAAGTTTAAAAAATAAATAAATAAAAAGACTGGGATATAACTCTGTGATAAAGCACTCCTGGGTTCAATACCCAATACCAAAAAAGGAGGAAAGAAAAATTTAAAAAGAAAGCTAACATGTAGTTGGCTCTCAATTAATGTTAACTTTTAATTTTTGAGACAGTTTTTGTAATTGACATTCTTTCAAATATCCATTTTGGGGCTGAGGTTGTGACTCAGTAGTAGAGCGCTCACCTAGCACGTGCAAGATGCTGGGTTGGATCCTCAGCACCACATAAAAATAAAAAATAAAAAAACCCCACAAATATCCATTTTTTAGCTATGGCCCCTGGATGGGCAGACTTATAGCCTCACTTCAGACCAGGGAAATGGTTCTCATCACCATTTTAGGGATTCTTGGGTGTTATATTCAAGCTGCTATAACAAAATAACATAGATCAGGTGGCTGATGAAACGCAGAAATGTGTTTCCCAGAAAGTTGGAGGCTAGGAAGCCCAAGGTCAAAGTACTAGATTTGGTACCTGAAGATGGCCTGCTTCCTGGTTTATATAGACTTTTCACTGTGTCTTTGCATGGTAGAAAGCGAAAGGGAGTTTTCTGGGTTCCCTTTCATAAGGGCATTAATTCCATGTATAAGGGCTCTACTCTCGTGACCTAATTACCTCTGAAAGACTCTACCTCCTAATGCCTTAGAGGTTAGGACTTCAACATATAAGTTTGAGAGAGCATAATGTTCAATCACAGCATAAACTTTATTTATTTTCTTTTACTTCATAGAAATTAAAGCAGTTTAAATACCTATTTATTAGAGTACAGCTCTGCAAGCAAAAATCTGGCACAGTAAGTTTGGCTTCTCTGCTTAGGCTAAAATGAAATTATGAGCCATCTCCATTGTCTCCTGGAGTTTGGGTCCTTTTACAACCTCATTCCTGTTTTTAGCAGTTTTCAGTTCCTTGCTGCTGTAGGACTTAAATCCCCATTTTCTTGCTGACCAGTGACCGCGAGCTTCTCGGCTCCTACTGGTTGCTCTCAGGTGTTTGCACCACAGGCCCTCTCCATAGCAGTGGAGAATTTCCTTCTTTTCATATCCCTCTAAGGCTTCTGTGTTTGTCAGATTTGTGTTGCTGCAACAAAATGCCTGAGGTAAACAACTTAAATGTGGCAATTTTTGTTTTGGTTTATGATTTTATAAGTTTTAGTCCATGGTCACTTGGCCCTGATCCTTTTGGGCCTCTGGTGAGACAGCACATCATGGTGGAAACACATGGCAAAGGAAACTGCACCTATTGTGGTGGCCAGGAAGCAAAGAAGAAAGGGCTAGGTTCCCAGTGTCCTCTTCAAGGGCAGTGCCCACCAGTGACCTAACTTCCTCCAACTAGGCCTAACCGTTAAAGATTCCATGGGCTGGGGATGTGGCTCAAGCGGTAGCGCGCTCGCCTGGCATGCGTGCGGCCCGGGTTCGATCCTCAGCACCAATACAAACAAAGATGTGTGTCCGCCGAAAACTAAAAAATAAACATTAAAATTTAAAAAATATATATATTTAAAAAAAATAAATAAATAAAGATTCCACAACTCCCAGGAGCAGTACACACTGAGAACCAAGCCTTCAGTATATGAAGTTTGGGGGGACGTGCCAGATCCAAATCATAAAAGCTTCCAATCTGACTTCCTTTTCTGGAGAATCTCTGGAGAAAGCTGGAGAATCTCTCTACCTTTAAAGGGCCTATATGATTAAGTCAGGCCCCCGGGATGATTTTGCTTTCTTAAGGCCAACAGTGCCCTATAGCATAACTCATCACATATCTCACCACAATCACAAGTTCTACCCAGAACCACAGGGGAGGTGATTATATAAGGGTGAAGGTCACTGGGGTCATTTTAGGATTATGCTGGCTTCCCTGGCTTTTTGCAGGGAGCTCCATTCAGCTTCCCACCACACACAGGCCTCAGTCCTACTCAAGCTTGGAAAAGAATAAAGAGTATGTCATTTTTTCTTACATGCTCATGAACCATTCAACCTCAGCTCCCATCTGGTAGTCTGGATAAGTGTCCTCCATGTGTCAAAGTTTTGGTCCTTTGAAGGTGGGGCCTAGTAGAAGGAAGTTAGGTCATTTGGGGCATTATCTTGAAGGGAATGTGAGCCCCAAGCCCCTTCCTATCTCTGTCTTTGCTTTGATGTTCTGCCTCACCACAGCCCAAGTAACAGAACCAATTGATCATGGACTGAAACTTCCAAAACTATGAGACAAAATAAACCTTTCCTCTTTTCAAATTGATTTATCTCAGGTATTTGCTACAGCAATGTAAAGCTGACTTAACACCCACTTGCTGTTCTGGCTTTCAATTCCCTCTTCATTTTCCATACCTAAACTTTTCCCTTTTTGCTTTCATGATTAGCATATATTTTAAAATATTTTTGTTAAATTATAGCCAGTATTTTTAAGGGTTTAGAATGGTCAGGGATTATCCCCCAGCAGCATGTCAACTGTATTTTCCAGACCTTTTCATGTTAGAGAAATATGTAATAAGATTACAGTCGGAGTCCATTAAAATAAGTGGGCCCTGAGGATCCCAATGTCAGTGAGGAGCAATCGGAGTTATAGGAAGAATTAATGAACAATCAGCATGCAAACTTGCCACCATCTTTAGGTTATGGGGTATAGTTTCTCCTCTTGCATTAAGTTCACCTTTTCTATCACAAAGAAAGCTAAAATGTATGAAAATTAAGGAAAGGAAATTACAGTATCCTTCTGAGACCTAAATCTTTTCTGGTAAAAGAGGCAGGATAAGGGGAAAGGGCAAGTTCCTTAATTGGTTTCTCTTGTCCAAAGGCTGATTATTTGCAAATAGTTCATCACTGTTAAAAGCATATTTGTTCTGTTTCCACTTCAAATCTGTGAGCAGTTGTCAAGATTGTTGTTATGATGCTTTTCTTCAGATATGGCTGAGCAGTATTTTCAAGACAGTATGACTCATCTTAAAGATTCTGAAGGGAAGGAAAGAGCCAAATTTCTTTCAATTCAAGATGAATTTTGCCATTTTCTACAAATCATTGGACAAAAAGAGGTGAGTTCAGATCATAATTGTCTAGTTCTTCACATGGGCAACCTGGTTGATATCCAAAGGGCTATTCCTTACTCTGCAAGTATCCATTAAGTACCTACTATGTGCAAGGCATGTTCTTGCCCTGGAAGGACACAAATAAATAAGACCAGGAGGCCTCTTTGGGTATCTTCCAAATGACTTACACTAAGAAACTGGAAAATTGTTAATGAGAGTGTAGATGTCATATTCACCTACAAAAGCTTCTGAGGGATTAGAAACCTTGAGAACTTGCTTGACAAAACCCTGCTTACTGCAGCCTTCAGTTCTGGTTGGGATGGAGGGTGACAGCTAGTGTGTCTATTCTTCTCTCCTCATTTTGGATAATGAATGGAAATTGCATATCTAGTGAAAGCTACACAGTGCAGAAGTTTCAGCTCACTCTCCTTTACCATGGATCCACCCAGGTGCGCTTGACATGGACTATAAAACTGAAAGAAGACCCAGAGTTTTATTCATTGGCAACTAAACCCTTGGGAACTTATTTCCTGTGAAACCTAAAGCTAATGGAAGCCATAGTATATAGCTCAATATCTTTTCCAACCTGTCATGGCAAATCTTGGAGGTGAAAACTTTGTTATCCTTGCCATCTGTAGACCTCTTCCCCAACAGCTCTTCCTTTATCCTCAATTCTCTATCAGTTAAGGAGCACGGGCTTTTAATATAGATGCACCATATTTCTCAGGCCGAAGTAAGGCCACAGCCACCATAACAAGTGGAGTTTCACTGTTTTTCTGGATCACCCAAACAAGGAGAGAAAGGCTTCCAGCGGCCTCAGATTCCCACCCCTAGACATCCCAGTTCTACCTCTAAACATTTTATGAGGAGCTCAGGTAAGAGGAACCAGGGTAAGTCTGCCCCTCATGCCTTGCCCAACCCAACTCCACAGCCATTTTTCCCTCCAAAATATATCTTGAGTCCACCCATTGTTTTCCCTTTTCCTCCATCAGGCATCCTCTCTTGCCTGGAGTACTCTAGCAAGCTCCTGTCTTCCAGCTGCTTCTATGTTTGCCTCTTCCTAACCCCTTCAGCCCAAGGAAGCCCTGGTGACCTTTCAAAAAGCAAATCCGATTAGTGAACATTCGTTTGTAAAATATTCCAATGTCCCCTCAGTGCCTTTGGGACAAACCAGAATCCCTCTATGCCCCACAATCCCTTCTGTGATATAGACTGTGCTGACATTTCTGATTTCATTTTGCCCCTGCTCCCGAATCTGTGTTCCTGTCACACTGGCCTTTTCTAATTCCCATTTCTGGGCTGTGTCTTCTTCTTCCTTCTTCTCCGGGAAGCCCTTCTCCATTCATTCCAGGCTAATGCCAATGCATCCTTCAATTCTTACCAGCTTCCCTGCTTCCTCTCCCATCTGCATTTGACTTTCTCCTTGACTCTTCCTTACAGAATCCAGTATGATGTAGAAAAGTATTCATACGTAGAAGATTATGTAGATGTTCAAAATCTCTTGTGTGACTAGACTGAGTTCCATGAGAACAGGGACCTTCTTGTTTATGATGAGGAATGATGAGCAGATGGGTGGACGGCTACTTGGCTGCAGGCCAGCTGACTTCTCTGATGGCCACAGGCATGTGCTCCATTCCTATTCCCATCTGCCTTCCTGCCATGGTGTCTGCTGCTGAGGCACCGATGCCCAATGTCACTGATGCTATGCCTCTCTGTCCTTGCTTGCCCAGGTCACCCAAATCAGTGGTGTTGATTTAAAGATGCTCCTTGCTCTCTCAGGCTGCCATTGAAGATTTTAGCAAACACTGTTTTCATTCTAGGATCACTGATAGTCTTTCCAGTGCCCCTTGTAAGAATAGAAAAGCTGTCCCTCGCTCAGGTGGATACAGCCCATGCCAGAGCACAGTGCCCAGAGAATGCAACATGGGCTGGTTCCATCCCTGTCTCTTCTCCTGTCAGGTGCCCTTGTGCATGGTGCAGGCTGCCTAGCTGAACGTGGCAGCCTCATGCTGTTCTCACCCTTTGGTCACAAACTTCTCCCTGTGGGGCTTAGCAGGAGTTCGCCAAAAAAGGGCTGGGCCCAAGGACGGTCACAGAGACAAGCAAGGGGAGTCACATTGATGTTCCCAGATGTGCTCACAGTCTACACATGAGTCAGAAACTTGCATTAACAGGAAAATGATCTTTGGGAGGAAATATCTTTCACAATAAAATGTAAAGGAAGGTCCCTCTGCTGCAGGATAAGATATAGGGGGAGGGAGGTGGTGCCACCTCTAGTGGTGCCACTCTCCTGCTCAAGAACTTTCTCTGACTTCTTATTTCCTGTAAGAAAATCCAAATTCCGGAGCCTGGCATAAAGCAGATCATCCACCAGATCCATCTCTCTCTTCTCCACTTCATACTTTGCTGCAGTCAAATGAACTTACTCACTCACCTTAAATAGGTCCTGTGCTTCTCCAGTTTGGGGGACTTTTCTCACCTAAGCCCTAATTGTTCTTCACTCCTGTCTCTTAAGCTTTTCCTAACTATTAGAGTCTGACACCTGCTTCCTCTAAACCAGTGGCATCATTTCCACTGTCATCTTAACTTGCCATTTAACTTCATGATCATCCATCTCCAGTCTCCCCAGTCAGGCTGTAAACAGCATTGAAAGCTTCATTTAGGAAAAGGAGTCTCAGCTCTTCTTTCCATCCATGGCTCCCCAAAGACTGACAGAATTCAATTCCCATAATAAAGCCACCAAACCAAACACTCCCATCAGTCTATGTTCGTGCTCACAGATGTTAGGAGGGCATGTGATGGGCCTTACCCTCAAGTAGGTCTGGATTAAAATCGTAGTCCTTCATGTTCTTCAGTGGGCCACACATAGCAAGTCAATCACTCTGCTCCTATAGCAATTTCTCTTTCTTCCTAAGAAATTGATTTCTGCCTCATTAGCACCTTTAATGTGGTGTCCCCACCATTGCTATTCCAGCCCAGCCCCTAACTCATATTTTTGCCAACAAAAGGATGGAAGCCTTTCACCCCATCTGTCTGAGGGACACCATCAGGACACTTATGGGGCTGTGTTATAGAAAGCCCTTTCACAAGTCCCTGCTTTATTTGGCTGTTGGATTCAGCATTTGTGCCCTAGAACTGTAACTGTGCTGTCATGTGGAAGATTGTGGAAGAATTTCAGGAAGAAGTATGGGAGACCAGCATGCCTAAACAGGGTTTTAGTCCTGGTATCTGAAGAAATTGTCAGGAAATATTGTTTTCTGACCAATGCACTTTTTTTTTATTCCAAGTTGATATAAATAAGTTGAATCAACCAAACAAAATGTCACATCATGTTGGAATGTTTACTTTTGGTTTCCCAAACTATTTTTTTCCTGAGAATAGAAAACCCAGAGCATGATCTGGATGTTCTGTTTTAGTTCTCTCTTATAAGAACATCAGTGTGCATAGAGGAAGAAGAATGTGGATCTTAAAGGTATTAAAATTACTGGCCGGATGCAGAGCCTAGCTCCACCATTGATGAGCTGACTCTTGAGCAAATTTCTGCTGCCCCATGCCTCAGTTTCCCTTTTGTCAAATGAGGATTAAAATTGTATCTATATAAATGACAGAATTTATGGGCTGGGCCTTAGCTTAGTGGGAGAGCACTTGCCTAGCACATGTGAGGCCCTGGGTTCCATCCTCAGCACCACATAAATAAATAAATAAATAAATGAGATCATACAAATTGTGCAGTGCAGTTTGTGACACCTAAGGACTCCACTCATACTGGTTAGCTTTTGTTCTTACCACCCAACCAAAATGAATTTCAGTAATAGCTGAAGTGAATTCCCTCCTGGAAGTGGCCTTGATGCATTCTTTTTTCACACTTTAATCTTCTCCCCCCAAAATATGTTATTTTCTGTATCCTATTTAACCAGAGAAGAATAACCCCAGTTCATAAGACCTCCAAACCCATTCTCTAAAAAATGAAATTGTAGTCAGTTATGTGTATTCGTAAGTTTTTCATGACTGTGAACAAAATACCTGACATAAACCTCTTAAAGGAGGAAGAGTTGATTTTGGCACATTGGCTCAGAGGTTTCAGTCTGTGTGGTTGGTTGGCTCCAGGTAAGTCAGAACATTATGACGGAAGGACATGGCGGAGAAAAGCTGTCAGCTCCTGGCAGCCAGGAAGTAGAGAGACAGTGAGCAAAGAGCCAGGGACAAGATATTGTCCCCTAGAAACCTACTTCCTTCAACCATGCCCCACCTGTTTATAGTTTCCCGCTCCTTCCAGTGGTCCATTCAAATTATTAATCCATCAAGTCGATTAATGCAATGAAAAGGTTAGAGCCTGCATGAGCCACTCACTTCCCCAAAACCTACATCTGAACCTTGGCCAAGTCTTCAACACATGAGCTTTTAGGGGGCATTTCAGAGCCAAACCATAACAGTTACATAATTATCTTTAGAAACCACTGATTTTAATAAGCCTTTGAACTTTTTAACCAGACAGATTTTTGTCTCTTTCTCAGCGAGCAACCTTGATCCTGAGAGAGTCCCTGGAAGCCAAAGTGGGAGCATTTGGCGATTTCAGCCCAGAGGTGGCAGAGACATACCGGCTCCTGGGTGGGGAGGACCTGGTGCAGGGGAACTACAGCGGAGCTCACAAGAAACTGAAGAAGGTAAAGTGGAAGCCAATATTAACCCCAGTGAGGCTCTCTCTCCCTCTCCACTGTCAAGTTCCTTCCCTCCACCATGCTACTATGGAGTAAAAACTATGTAAGTGGCTGATTTAGGTAAGATGTGATCTCTTTTGCAGTAGATCTAAAATAACACTTAAGGTAAAAGATTTCCTCTTAGACATATACATTTTTTAAAAATTTTTTTAAATATTTATTTTTTAGTTTTAGGTGGACACAACATCTTTATTTTATTTTTATGTGGTGTTGAGGATCGAACCCAGCGCCTCGTGCATGCCAGGCAAGCGCGCTACCGCTTGAGCCACATCCCCAGCCCATACATTTTTTTAAATTTATTTTTTAGTTGTAGATGGACACAATACCTTTATTTTATTTATTTATTTTTATGTGATTCAGAGGATCGAACCCAGGGCCTCGCACATGCTAGGCGAGTGCTCTACTGCTGAGCCACAACCCCAGCCCTAGACATATACATTTTAAAAATGAATTTTCAATTATTGTTTTTTTAAAGAGAGAGAGAGAGACTGAGAGAATTTTTTTAATATTTATTTATTTTTTTTAGTTTTCGGTGGACACAACATCTTTGTTTGTATGTGGTGCTGAGGATCGAACCCGGGCCGCACGCATGGCAGGCGAGAACACTACCGCTTGAGCCACATCCCCAGCCCCTTCAATTATTTTTGACCCTGCAAATATTTTATAGGGTATAATTTATCAAGCCTTTGTTTTTATTGTATTCTTTCTATATGCACAGTTAATAGAGGAATTCTTATATTTTTCTCCTATTCTTCTCCTTTTATTTTCAATTTGGAATTTATTTCTGTGGATAGTGTGAGGTATGTATCTAATGTTGTCATTTTTCCAGATAGCTCCTCCTTGTCTAGCATCATTTCATTTATTAAAGAGCCCACCTGTGCTCCAGGGATTTAAGATAACACCTTCATCATATACTAAATTTTCAAATATACTTAAGTCTATTTCTTGATTTCCATTCTAGTCAACTAATCTCTGTTTATTCATGTGCCAATATCTCACATTTTTAGCAATAGAGATTTTATATCATGATTTAATGCAAAATAGAACTGGACAGTCCTTGTGGCTCTTTTTTCCTAAAATATTAGTGTTTCTAGATATCTGCATATTTATTTTTCTACATGATTTTTATATCAATTATTTAGCCTCATAAAGAGTTTGCTGGTATTTTTTATTAAATTATATATAAATGAATTTTGGGAGAACTTACATCCTTATTATGTTGAGTCATCAACCCAAGAAGAAGGGGTATCTTTCCATTTGTTCATGTCAACTTTTATATCTTTCAGGTACATTTGAAAGTGTTTCTCCTATAGGTTCTGCACATTTCTTACTAGATTTCTTCCTAAAGTGTTTTCATTATTACTATTGTAAGCGGTAATTTATTCACTATTATCTTTTTACTTGTTGATGTACCTTAATTTTTTACTTATTTATATCTGGTGTTGAGGATCAAAGCCAGGGCCTCACACATGCTAGGCAAGTGATCTGCCACTGAGCCACAACCCCAGCCAGCCCCTCACTATTGTCTTTTAATTTATGTTGTGATTATGAAGACCATAGGCTTCTCTACCTTAATTCTTTTATTGCTTGAGTTAAATTGAGGATTGATTCAGATTGAGGTATACTATTGCATTATCCAAAGATAGGCATAGTTTTACTTTGTGTTTTCAAATTCTGTGCCTCAAATTGATTTCTCTTGTCTAATTGCATTGGCTCATGACTCCAAGGCAATAATAAATAGTAGTGGAAATAATGGGCATTTTTGCCTTGTTCCTGATCTTAGTGGAAATGCCAATAGTGATTCTTCACTTAATGTATGAACTAGGGTTTATATATTTTATCATATTAAGGAAGTATCCATCAATTTCTAGTTTCATGAGTGTTCTTTAGGTTAAAAATAAATTTTGAATTTTATCAAAAGCTTTTTATCATCAATGGAGGTTATGAAATTATTCTTCATAAATCACTGAAATGGTGTGTTTTACTATACTATCGAATCAACCTTGCATTCATGGAATAAATATCCCTTAGGTTTAATTATTTTCCTAACACAATGTTGTCTGAGTCCATTTTATTCTGCTGTGACAGAATACCAGAGACTAATGAATAAAGAATAAAAATTTATTTCTCACAGTTTTGGAGGCTGAGAAGTCCAAGATGGATGGCATCTGTTGAGTGTCTTCTTGTTGTATAATTTCATGACAGAAGGCAGAGGGAAAAGGAAGTAAGAGAAAGGGGGGTTGAACTCCGTCTTTTTTTTTTTTTTTTGGTAATACTGTGGGGATTGAACCCAGGGGTAGTCTACCTCTGAGTAACATTCCTAGTCCTAATTAATTAATTAACTAATTAATTTTGAGGCAGGGTCTCCTTAACTTGCCTAGAGTGGCCTAGATTGAAAGATTCTCCTGCCTTAGCCTCCTGTGTAACTGGAATTACAGGGTGTGCCATAGCAGAACTCAGCCTTTTACAATGGGCCCGTTCCTGTAATAATGAACCCAAGGCAACAGCATAAATCCATTCACAAGGGGGCAGCCCCCATGGCTTAATACCTCCCATTAGATCCCACTTCCCAGCACCATTGCATTGGAAGTTTCCAATACATGCTTTTTAGGGAACACATTCAAACCATAGCAGATATTGTTTCTGTTCACTGATTTTATGATTTTTGCACTAATATTTGTATGTGTATTTGTTTAAGGAACAGTGTTACATTTACTTCAGAAAAATAATTTGGAAGTTACCTTTATTTTTCATGCACTGAAAGAATTTGTGCAGCATTGAAACCAGCTGGTGTTTGAAGGTTTAGACCTCCTGTGAAATTCTTTAAGCCTGGTGCTGTAGTTGGGGGATAATTCCTTTAAAATTTCTCCCACTTTTGAAAAAAAAAAAGTGTTCTGTTGAAGCTTTCTCTCTCTTAAAGAAGTCATTTTGGAAAATTGTATTTTTCTGGGTAATTATCCATTTCACTTATACTTTAAGATTTATTTGCATAAAATTTGCAGAGTAATCTCATGAATTTTTACAGTTTTCACTTTTTAATAGCTATTTCCCCAACATTATTTCTTGGTTTTATATATTTTTTTCTCCTCTTTCCTTGACTGAATTAATTAGTGTTTTCTCTCTTAATTTTCCCAAAGTACAAGGATTTTAACTCCACAGATCTATTGTCTTCTGGTTCTCTATTTCATTAATTTATGATTTTATCTTCATTATGTCTATTCTTGTGCCTTGTTTTCTTTCACTATGTTGAAGTTTTTTCCCTATCTTATGAATTGAGAATTTAATTGTTTTCACTTTTATTGATCTAAGTGTTTGTAGCTATGAATTTTTTCTTGTCCAGTGTATCTCTTAAGTTTTGTTATGTTTTCATTATACTAATTAGTTTTATAATAGTGAAACCCGTAATCTCTCAGTAACCCTGGATAAACCTAAAAAATTCACTTTTGTTCTGAGTGAGTTGTTCTACAAGTTGTCATTTTCTCTTATAATTTTTCTGACTCTGCTACAAAAGATATCAGGATTGGTAACATGTGTGGTGCCAATTTGTAATGAGATGACACACATCTGCTATCAATTTGTCAACAAATAGTTATTGAGTACCCTCTATGGACCAATTGCTGAGCAAGCCAGACCCAGGGCAGGGGCCAGAGTAAGGGACCAAGTCAGGTATGAAGGGGCATCTGTTGACTCTATTGATTTCCAGAGAAGGGTGGACTAGCCAGATGAGCAGCAGGTAGGCCTGCAACTGAACCCTGGGAGGAACTGCAGGGCCAGACTCTACTGCCAGGAGGGCTCTCTCCCTGCCTCGCTCTGCACATCCTCCTCCTCCTCATCCCTTACAACACTGTCTCCCCCCAAGAAGGAGATCATGGCTTCCAACACTCCTGAGTCATATCTTTATCCCTGTGCCTTTTCTTTGCCTCAGCTTGAAAAACTTGAGGGAAGACTGTGGGGCATGGCTTGAATCCAGTGCCCACCCTAGATCAGTCAGCAAGGCCAAGCAGAATGGTAGACTTTGAGAACAGGGTGTTTCCAAGGTAGCTGGTGACCTGGGAGGAGGTGGCTCAAGAAATACATAGTAAGAAAACCTGGGACAGGGTCACTAGAGCCCGTCCATATTGGGAAAGGGGGCTATGCAAAGAATAAAATAGGAGGAAGCAGTCCCTTCCCTTAAGAATGTCCCAGACCAGAGAGGGAGTTATAGACTATAAACTCCCAAGTATATTTTATGCAAAGTTCCATGCTACAAGTCCATCTTGGGATCTACAGGAGAGAAGGGTTTTAGGGAAAGCATCCAGACCAATAATCGTGGAAAAGAGTTGAGACAAGGAAAATGAGTAGTTGTTCTCTGGCTGGGAAATGGAATAGAAGAAGGAGGCTTCAGGACAAAGAGAGCAAAATATGTTTAAGAAACTAAAAGCAGTTGGGGGTTGGGGTGGTGACAGGGAAAGGCATGAGGACAGATCTCTGAGGCTGTAACACAGATGTGCACAGAAACCTAAGCAGGGCTACACAGGCCTTCACGCCAGTGGGTCTGGGCTGGTACCTTGCACAATGCTCTCTGGGGTAGCTCTTCCATTATTCCCAGCAGCACAGTTTTACAGAGGAAGGGACTGAGCCTCCAAAAAGTTAATGTCCCAGTTTACTCTTAAGCAAAACCTTAAAGTCTTAAAGTTTCTGCATCAGGGTCACCTTGTGAATCAATCTCTGTGGAAATCTGCAAGTTTGTCAGCTTCCTGGGGAGAAAGAGACTGAGAATCCTTGCTTTGGGCCACACTGTCACTCACTGAGCTGAAAATCAGCTCAGCTTCAAGAAACTCTCAGGTTGCTTCATCTCTAAAACCTGCAGTGGAAGTTGGCAACCTCTTTTTTCCTTTCATTTGACCTCGTTAACCATCAGTCCTGAAAACAGTGACTCTGACAGCTTAAAGCTTGCTGGCCCTCTG